AGGCAGGAGCCTCTTTCCCTTGGAGTCGAAGCATAGCAACCGACTTGTGAAGATTGACATTGAAGCCAAAGGCTTGAAGAGTCATTAATACATGTTGAAGATCAGTGAGAGCTTCAAGGGCTTGGGCTGTGGATCGAATTATCCACCGGAGGTGGATGTCATCTGCGTAAACGACCATGTGCTCATGTAGCCATTGATGGGAATATTTGTTTTGGAGATCAACAAGTACAAGGCTCATGGTGAGGGTCCAGAGCAGAGGGGCGTCTTTGGCCCCCTGTTTAATTCCCCTATGTGCATGTATTTGACCGATCAACTGCTTGAAGGGAATACAATACTTGTGGGGGGTGAGCCATGTGTGCACAAATTGAAAAAGGTCTGGATCCAAGCGGTACAGCTGCAAGGCACGAAGCACCAGGGTGCGGCTGACTGTGTCAAATGCCTTCTCCATATCTAAGGAGACTTGGAGTCCTCCAAGCAGCCGTGGCTGAGGTCCAGTTTTGACAGCCCTACACATCATGCGTACAGTTCTGCAATGTTCGGCCACTATGAGTAGACATTCACGTGTCCCTCGGTGAGGTAAATACGCATAGAGTGGAAGACGTCTAAGTCTGTCGAACGTCTGCAGAATGATCTGTCTGCATTGAATTCCTGCAAGAATCTTGTTGACTGGGTGTTGCAAACAGATGGGTCTGAGGGCTTGGGGTTTGCTTGGGGATTTATTCGGTTTAGTCAGGAGATGGATCCATCCTGTTGTCCAATGATCCGGAAGGTTTACGGGGTATTGAAGCCAAACCTGCTTAATCTGATGCATTAAAGGATCAACAAGATCATGCGCAAAATGCTTCCAGATCAGTGCTGGCAATCCATTCGGTGCCAGGGCTTTAGTGCTTGGCAGGTGCAAAAGCTCAGTGAGCACATCCTGGCGGTCGAAGGGGAGTCGGGTGAGAGGTTCGAGATCCCGGGCTTCAAACTTCGGATCAGCAAACAGTTGGGTATAGTAGTGTTCAATGGATTCCAATTCCTGTCTCGGTGCAAGAGGCATGCCATGGGTATCAAAGATCTGAATTCGTTTCGGTCTTTGTTTCGGCCACAGGAGCCTGATCTTCCGGTACCAGTCAAAGATGCGTCCATGAAGGGCAAGATCAGCACCCTCAGTGAGAATTTGTTGTAATTTGTCTCTCTTGTTTTGCCTGCTCTGTTTACGTATGGCTTTATGGATGGTTCGAAAGATGGTGATATGAGCCCAACACTCAAAGAGATCGCGAATGCTGCGACCACGAACGGCCAGAGCCTGCTTGCGGGCAGTCCACATCCTGGCGGCCATCGAGGAAATCTGGGGTGCTTGAGGGACCCGGGATTTTCTTTTGGGAAAGAAACTAGAACAAATCGTTCGAAGTTCTTGTTCCAAAGCGTGCATGGATACCTGATGCGATGGATGAGGTGTAGAGTGTCGAGCGATGCTCTGACGAATCTGGACCTCAAACTGCTGCCAGTGTGCAGTGTTTTCGAGTCTAGCCGTACGGATAGCAAATCTGTCAATGGTGTTGAGTGGGAGCACTGGTTTCCGAGGCGCAAACCACCTGGGCAGGATAAAGAACAGTGGATGATGATGAGGGCCATGACATCCAAAATTGCGCATAAAATTCCTATCCATGGTGGGCTGCATGCGACGAAATAGGACCTGATGTTGACGAACAAAAACATAATCAATGCGAGAATGATGGGATCTATGTTCAAAGGTCGATGCATACTGCTGTTTACAATGCAATGCAATCAGGTCCTGTGCTTTCACCAACTGCTGAAGAAGATCTCGATCGGTGTGAGTGGTCAAGGACGCACGGGCATCATGGCTATTGATGTGTGGCGGATCGAACTGGAGGGTGGTATTAAAATCACCCATAAGGACCATTTGGTTCTGCTGCGGAATATGATTCAAAATCTGCTGCAGGCTGGTCTAAATCTTGGCACGATGTTTAAGAAGCTGTTCCTTGCCTTTGGTTACATTCCAGGCATGCTGATATACTACGATGAAGTCGTATGTGCTGTACAAAAATAGGCGGATCTGAAGAAGTCGACCATCAAAATGAGAGGCCGAGGCAATCTGTTCAGGTCTGGCCAGGGTATCCCTAATGAGCACAAGTATGGCAGCGTGCTTCGTCGAGGAGTGGATGCAGTGCCATCCCTGGGACGTCCAGGTGGAGTTAAAATTCCATCCAGTTTCCTGCAAGGCTATGATGTCCAGGGGCTGGGATGTACACCAGTGCAGAAACTCGTCATGGACCAAGTTCTTCGATGCATTCCAGGTCATGCATCTTATGCCAGGTGTGGTCAGTGGGTCCGTGACTTCAGCTTGTCTTGTGTGTGCCGTCTATAGGCTTCTCGAATGCGCCAGGGTCCATCGGTGTCGAAAAGAAAGCCTTTTCGATAAGGCGTGTAGCCATGTTGCAGTGCTCGGAAACAGGCTCTCTTAAAGGTCCTCTTAATCTAAACGATGCGCGGCCGGGAGACGACAAGGCCGTAGCCTCCTTTGGCCCATACCTCAGAAGGCTTCGTAGAGAAGCTCTAGTTGCGAGTGAAGGATCCACCTCCACTTTCATCCGGGATTAAGGAGTCCCGGATAACCCTCACGCCACCCATGGTTCCGCTCGGTATAAAAGGCGATGCATTAGCATCCATAGGCCCTGGACTTGGGACCAGGGAAATCAGCCTCTGTCCTAACAGAAAGATGTGCAACCAAATGAAAACAATCATCAATAGTGTGACGGCCGAGGGATCCAGTGCACTAGGCAAAGAAAATGGCGAGAAGATCTACAAAGAAATGGCTACCGTAACTTAAGGCTAAAATAGCGCTTATATAAATTTATACATAATATAATATTTCAAATTAATCATTTTAAATCATAATAAAATAATAAATATTTAAATATATTAATCAATAATATCCATTAAATAATATAATAAATTTAATTATTTATATATATTAATATTGCAAAATATCTACAAACCATTATTTCATTATTAAATAAATATTCAATATTTAAAATACATATATATATATATTAAATTCAATATTTAATATATATAAAGAACGACCAAAATTCCTTATTAATTTTCAATCAAAAAATAAACATCATCGATTTTCATTTAGACCTTATCATTTTATATATATAATTATATACAACGCTAAAATTATCGATTTTTAAATAAACCTAATTAAAATAAAAATTTTATACACAAATCTAACAATCTTTATTAAAATATTCTTCATATATCTTAAGCATAATTCATATATATATAATTATATAATAATAATAATATATTTTTTATAAAATAGTATTAAATATATCTTAAATTATAAATTTCCAAAATTAATTTATGGTTAATATATTTTTTTTTTTCATTAATAATTACGAATAAAGAATATTTTTTAATTTATCAATCCAAACATATATAAATCCTTTCCTATTTGGAATAATAATGCCTAAATTCCTCTATACCAATTATATATTTCATTAATATAATAAAAAATGTTCAAATGGATCTGTAAATTGGATAAATAAAGAATTATCGTCCTCTATGTCTTCGTTTCCAAATCAATGCAAGCACTAAAATGTTTACGTACTATCAAGGGCAAAGAAGAATTACTACCGAAGGGTATTTGAAACTCCAGAAGGTCAAAAAAAGGAAACGATCAAGAAAGGTATAAGAATCATTACCGAAGGATAAAGACATTCAATAAAAAGAAGCACTACCGAACGGGAATGAAATTCAAAAACCATCCAAAAGACAATAAATTCAATTGGAAAAAGATGAGAATCGCTCCCGAACCGTGGGAAGGAAAAACCAAGAAAGGCAGGATCGAACTACCGAAGAAAACAAAAACATACTAAGACTTCAATACCAGCCCGTCGCGCTAAACTACAATCTCTTTAATGAGACTGGCTTGGGCCACCTGTCGGAGGAACTTGCCTCTGTGCTTGAGCTGACAGGCCTGGGCCAAGGGCTACGGTTTCTTTTCCTTATCTTGCTGTCCTCTTTGCTGTCTCCTCTTCTCTCTTTGCTTTTCCCTCCTCCCCCCTCTCTCACCATCAAAGTGCTCTCTCTTCACTCCTCTCCTCTGTGTCTCTCTCCTGCTCTTCAAGTGGTGATTGGTTGGCTGTCATCAAGTGTGGTGACTTGTGTTCTTCAAGTGTGGTGATTGGGTGCTGTTCCTTCAAGTTGGCATTGTGGAAATGAGCAAGCAAGCAAAGAGAGGAGAGAGAAAGGCAATGTTCAACAAGTGTGGCAAGGTTGGATGCGAGGGAGAAGAGAGGAAGAGAGAGAGAGAGAGAGAAGAAAGAGCAAAGAGTGGAGAGTGGAGAGGAGAAGATCCTTTTGTTTCATCTCGCTTCTGTTCTGAAAGATTCAATCTTCAGTCAGTTGAATTCAAGTTTGATTGTGCGCTTCCAGTTTTGTGAGTCAATTTTGGTGTTGGCCCTTGCTCTTGCCAGCACGATGAGTATTATTGCTTCTTCGGCTCAATCCTAAAAATGGCAGTCAATTTTTCGTCATATAATGTCAAACGTGGAGATAGCGTCAGCTAAACGCCACTTGCGTGCAAGTCCCCAAAGTCCTTTATTTAACTCAGTGCTAAGGCCAGAATTGCGGACTTAGCCGACTCAGCACTATTGGTTAAAGGAGAAAGACGGTGGGGAGGTAGAGTTTGTAGACTAGTTTGAATGCGGCTTCTCGAGCCACTGGAACAGGCTCCGTTTTCTTTATGGAGAGCAGCTCTCCGATTTGGAGAGACACGGCAGCAAACAAACCGAAAGCGTGCAGGTCGTGAGATGCTTCGACATATCGTCGGATGAAATTCTATCATACTGAGTGGTGAACATGAAAACATGCACCTCTGATGGACGCAGAGGTTTGAGTGAGGCGTTTGTAAGCACCGTCAATCGTAAATGAACCACCCTGTCGCTCGGAACCCTCCCAATCGCGCACGGTGTCGCCACGTAGCTTTTGTCAATGCCTGCTGGAGGTCATCGAACACTATGCTTGGTTCATTAACGCCCACCATACTCAGACCATGGGATCCTGCCCGAAACAGTGAGTCGAGTCGAGTCGAACATGGCGACCGGAACCGGTGTGTCCGGTGGCACGCCCGGACCGTCCCGCTGCGCCGCCGGAAAGGTCGGTCCGGAGTCGGCCGCTGGAGGATTGGCCGCGCGGTTGAGGCGCCACCTCCCTGGAGGGCAAAAACTCTCCAAAGCCTTGAGGGGACGGTGTCACGGTGTGTCGAATGGCTTGGGAGGGCCGAAGAGATTCCACTGAGTTTAGGAGGAAGAATGAGAAAGATTCGTTTGACGCCTCTGGTCTTAAGGAAAGCAAATGGTGCCTCAAATGACACCTATACTGGCTTTGATAGATGACTTTGAAGGAAGGAAAAAAAAAACATATTGTGCAGCAAAGTGGCTGTCGAAGATGTATTCCACCTGCGCCAATCACATGATCAAACAGTGGGGGTTCATGATGATATGGCTGAACATCCAAGGAGGGATAGGAATCTTTAGAAAGCTCGATCCGACTATGAGAGCGTTTGGCGACATGAGAGCAGGTCCAAACTCTGGTCAACTGAGTCAACTGTGCCGCCTCTCCACATCTCTCCACATCTCTTCGTTCGCGAACGAGGTTTTTCACGGCCCTTCATACCATGTTGACCCATCAACTGTGGCTTGTAACTGATGTCTCAAACATATCGGGACAGCCCTCATAACATCTCAAGAGAGGGAACAAATGACCAGTTGAAGGAAAAGCAAAAGGATGCAAAAGGAACATCCAATCAAACTTCCAGCCGGCTTGGAACAGTCGCCCCTCCAGCGGCGCAGGGTGGCCTTCTGAGCTAGGCCGCCTTTCTGTAGCCAGGGCCATATCTCGTGGCCAGACCAAACCTGTTCCCGGTAGTTGCCTCGGTTTCGCAAAAAGAAACCGTCTGCACTGCCGTGACAAGACCAGGACACCCTGCTGAAAGGCAAACCATGGAGGTTTGCCCCTCTTGCCCTGGCAGCTTTGGCCCTCCGACAGATCCAACAATCCATGGTGCGGTCAAGACCATCCATTACCTAAACAGCTTGGACGTGCTTAGATTAGACTCAAACCAATGCTATCCAATGGCTTATATATCATTAGGTTACTGATTGGTTCCTTTCACAGCCATGAAGCCCCCCAATTCCGTCGCTGACTCCTTCCGACCCAGCGGCTGTTGTCCACGAAGGGACACGCGTAGGTCTTGGCCAAGTTCACCACGAAGATGCGGTCGGAACCGCGGCCTTGCACCGACCCGGTCTCCAAACGGAACGAACACACGGGCTGCAATGCTGGATGCACATGGGCTGCAAAGCAAAGTCAAAGCAATTGGTAGAATTTTCAGACCTGAAGTCTTCAACATCTGTCTTCAATGGCTTTTCTGGGTTTTCTGTGGTTTTCTCCAGATAACCTCAGCGTCAAAAAGAGGATGTGCCGTCATTATATGTACCTGAACAATCACCACCAAATACCACCAAAACTATCAGCACCAAACCACAGCGGCACTCTTTTCGGTGCCTTCTTGGCGTCCATCATCATCCATGACCGGACATTGCACTAATTTCGGCCTGCCAGGAGGGTTTTGGCGATGGATGGACGGCCCTGTTTAACAGGCGGCAGGGTTTGGCGTGGTTTGGGGGTCAAACTGTGGGAACATGAAGGAACAACATCAGACCCGGCAAAAACCAGATCTCCCTTTAAAAACAAAGGACGTCCTTCTCTGTGAAGTCCGTGGCGAACAAATCCGTCTCCCAGACCCGATGTGGAAGAGGAGTCCTTTCGCGGCCAAAGAAGCCGTCGGCCTGAGCTCCGCAGGCGGAGGATGCCGATGCATCGTCGCCTGGTGGCAGACGGGCTGCGGCCAAAAGCCCAACTCCTCGTAGAAGCGGATCGCACACCTGCGAGGTGCTCACGCGCCGTTCCGCGCAGCACATTCAGCGCGGAACGGTGTGCGTTCGCATTGCGAGGAACGGTGTGTTCGCGCGGGTGGATGACGTGAGGTTTGGAGGACACAAGACATGTGATTCGGATTGGGATAGGTGCAGACAGGAATCTTTTGAATCTAGTGAGACATAGGAACTTGGTCTGACATCAAACCTCTGTCATACCCCATAATTGGGAAACCAAAGCCTGCCCAAATTGAGTGGATTGAAGTCGAAGCCCAAAACAGTTGAGCACATCGCCATGCCGTTGAAGCAAAAGGTTGATTCTCTATCTATCTGTACCCATGTTCATGAACGATGGGGCGATCGCAATTGCCTGAACCATCAGAGGGCTCCCTTTCCATCCCTTTCCATCGTATTCACTTTCAAAGCAGCCAGGCAAAGGGCGGTTTATCTGTGTCGTTGGCCCGTCAAGGTGGACCCGTTTTTCAGGCGACCTCTGAAAGCCCAACCCATTTAAGCCTCTTAGCCATACCAGTTTCGGGATGGCCAAACACCAAACCTCAACCATGGGAAGAAGTGATTGGCGGTGCGCTTTTGATTGGTGGTGTCATTCGATCCTATACCGGTTCAGGGATGTTCAGGGTACTTTTCCACATCTATATATTTTGAGACCTTTCACTGGCACAAAAAGCGGCGCGCCCAAGACGAGCCTGATAGCGTCCCACGGGAATGGCATATGCGGTCTGTCACCCTTTGGGCAAAAAACTGTGCATTTGCTGGCTGTACTGCCAATGTCCTCGCAAAGCACATCCAAGTTCTTGGCACCAAAGGGAGAGGTGTGGCTATGAGTGGCAACGTTGCTTTTAGTCTGATGATTCATCTTGCGATTTGCTTAAGGAACCCGGAAGAAGTAAAATAACATATTCCCCCAAAGGGGATTTACCCATAGGGAAATATGAATCACCCTAAGCAAAACCAGGTCCAGCTCCACCTTACACCATGCCTTATTGAGATGATTCGAGATGTAAAAACCCTTCTAACATGGGTCAGCTCACAGCCCGTCCTCGCAGTTGAGAACCTTGGTCACTCAGCACGTTCGTGGCTGATAAAACGTTCTTCGTTATAGCGAGAGAAGGGTACTCCGCTCATGAAATCATAGGGTCATCCTACGTATTATTGTAACCAACCATTTCTATTCTAAGTGACACAACACAAATTCCTCCAAACGAAACAACCCTAACACACACATGCATTATTCATATACACCCTCTTGATCCATGCGTCGGCTAAGATAGGATCACCCCATAAAGCCACGGATGATGATATCATCTCATGGAATCTCATGGGTTTTCAGTGCACGGCAAGGCGCAATCATGGCACCCTCCTGTCGAAGTGCACCCAGTTGAGGGACACTGGACGACTGAGGTTCTGGTTCTAGGACAACACCAGGCCCTGGCGGGAGAGAGGTGCGCCGCAACGCCACACGCACGCAGTCACCACGCAGTCGCGACGGCGCGCGGCGGAACGCCAGGCGGGTAAGGCGACAGCGTCAGTCACAGTGAAGCCACAAGAATCAACACCAGGGGTTAACTGATTCTACAGGCCTCCGCACGGACCTGCCGAAGCTGTTCATTTCTTCAGTCCTGTCCTCACCCCCTAACCTTACTAGTAGCCCCCAACACCGAGCGCCTGAGTCAGCCTTTGGATCCACCAGTTTCTCGATCGCCGGTGCCACTGCCGAGACTTTTCGCCGCGACTTGGGGTCGGCCGGCGGTGCCACCAGCGGTGCCACCGGCGGGGGCTTTGTGCTACTCGGCGGCGGTGGAGGCTTCGACTGCCTTGGAGGCTTCGATGATCGCGGAATCCGATCAACCAATTGAGCCAGCATAGAACAATATGTGCCATACCAGCAATCATCAAATAAACAAAACAAATATGAAACAAAAACAACCGGAGATGTGGAGAAAAACAAAAAACATGAGGTGTGATCTGAACCACCTTGAATCTTGCACCATCCTCACATGTCCACCAACCCAAACATCAACCCCACCCTCCGTCTCTCTCGCAATGACCCAGTTGCGCGGAGCCAGGCAAAACGCAAACCCGAACACGTCCAGGCTTGGCCCGTTCGACCTCGCGCCAGAATTCCTGGCGACCAAAGGCCGAGCAGAATTGTTGGATGATGTTGAGTGGTTCAGGATTTACGAGTGAACAAACTAAACACATCTCTCAACGCAGAGGAGAGGGACTTCGATGGACTTTACTATTGGGCCAGTGGTCTGCTACAGCCGCTGATACAGAACGAAGTACTGAACAATCCTGCACTGCAGTACTACTTCATGAGATACATGCCATCAGCCTCGAAACATGGCTTTCTGTGTGCTCTTGGATGGTTCTGCTTCGACTGGAGACGTTCTCCAACCCACAAAACCGCCACATGAGTGTGCTTTGAAAAGCACACCTGTCTTTAGCATGTTTGTTCGATCCAGAGTACTGCTGGTGAAGCAAACATGCGACTCTGATTGATACAGCGTTTGAACAGCCATCTCGGAGATGGGTGGAAACATGAGCCAAAAGGCATATCCAGTATCCTTTGTGCCCAACATGGTCCACTTTATTCCAAGTTGACAGGTCTGGCTTTCTCTCCAAACACCCCAAGTTGGCTGGGGGCGCTTCACCACACTCACTGATCCGTCAGCCTGGTGAGATCTCACTGGGATGCCATTCACCCTCGTCACAACATCCTCGGCGGCGTGGAATCGACGGGGGGCATTGGGGGAACTCCCGGAGGCGCGATGAGCGGCTCCCAGCTCAATCCCTCTCGGCGGCGATGTGTCTTCCCGAAGTCAATGTGGGCGACGTTTTCGGGGCGTTTTTGGGGACTTTGGAAGGAAAGCGTTGGCCTTTGGGGCTTTTCACCACTCTGTGGACCCACATGTTTCGACAGCAAGTTGAGGATTTTCTCGCAAGAGTGGATGGGCAAAACCCCGTATCTTTGTGATGGTCTCTTCTGGCCTCAGGAGCCACTTGCTCAATGATGTCCCATCATCGCTAACTCACCACCAAGGCAAACCAGGTCTTGACAACCCCCCATGCTAATTAGACTGACTTGGTGAGTACGGTGGTGAAGGTGGCACCCATCATTTGGATCCATTTGGCAGGAAAATGCAGGATATGCATCTGAGCGGCATTTGTCAAGAAAAGAACCCTCCATCCATCTTGTTTGAGTCAGACCATGGCATGCTCCTCTCAGATCCTTACGCCCCATCCTCGAATTGCAAAACATGATGTTCAGGGTTCCATGGAGAGCCTTCATCCGTCTGCCCTGGTCAAATGAAGTGCCCCCACCGGGCTGGCCCCACTTGTCAGAAGCCTTCTAAACCATCTGCTTGGACAAGGATAAAAGGTCAGAACCCCCGAACAAAAAAACAAAAAAACGCTCGCTCCGGTCTTCAGTTCACCGTTTGACTCACCTGACTCACCCTGTTGTCGGCTCGATTCTCCCGGCTTCTCCACGACTCCAAGATTCTCCCGGTATGAGCAAATCACGGGAACGTCCCGAAGGAAGGGTGGACTCGACCTGCAGATCCTGAAAACGAGGGTCTGGACATAGTCGATATGAATGGGATCCACTAGTGACCGATTCCACCGATTCCCAAACAAACATACCTATCTAAACATTGCTTTTCGAAGGAGATGAGGGACTTCCATTGTTGGTGACTTATACATTAGATGAGGGACTTCCATTTTTGACCATGCATGACATTACCCTGCAAACCGTTGGAACCCGCAGAAAGCTGCAGATTTAATCATCTTGCCCACCACCGAATGCTCCTGCAAGGAGACGCCCAGGGAATCCACCTGTCCGGTGCCCGGGTAGAACCACCGACGGACGAAGCACCGAACCGCTTTCAGAACCTACGTTGGGCTGGGACACTGGCTCGCAGTGTTTGTTGGGCCGGGGGGGGAAGACAACCAGATATTGGGAAACTGGGAAAAGAGTGTGGTGACAAAAATATAAACAACTGCCGTGCCTTTCGCAATTCCATGGGTTGACTATGACGATGCTGTCTTCACATGTTGGTATGCTTCCCTGGCTCTGAAATGAAACAGCATGGAATTCTTTCAAACATAATCATGTTGGAAATACAAGAGCCGGAGGCACCGCACCGCCCCTTCTCAAAAATGCTGAAGTCCCACCTCCTGTAGGAAGCCCAAGTCAATATCAATCTCTCTTGCATCATCTGCACCTGCTGAGCTGGTGGACCACACGTCAGATTGACGAAGCAGCTGGTGGTTCGGTGCTTGCCCCGATGTTTTCTCTCTAAACGTTTGTTCGAACATCAGCGCTTTCCATTCCTTTGTCCTCAGTAGATCCAGAAGGTATAATCATCTCTGATACCTGACTGCACCTGACTGCTGAAATAGACTCAATCCAACCCTGGCCTTTTGGCTCCCCTCTGGCGCGAGGCTTCTGCGCCTCCCAAGTTCTGCAGGACGAGATTCTGGAAGCAACACCGACACAAAGCACCCAATACAAATTCGTAGCAAATTATAAAATATAATAATGATTAATATCACTAAGTTAGGATATGATATACTACTACTTACTAGTTGGTAACCAAGGTCTCCGAATTGGGAATTGGCTCATACTTTGAATTGCATGCTGCAAACATATGCAAACATATATTATATAGCTTGCATATGCTTGCATTGCATTAGCTTGCACCTGTGACATCTATTGAGGCCGCTACACGGGTGTTCCAACATATGTGGGACTAAAGCGAGACCGAGACCGACTTTTATCGCTTCCAGGCAACTCATTTGGATTCGTTTGCCTCCCATCATGGGGTCAAGAATCACCGGTCTGGCAGAAGAGTTCCTCCTGTTCTTCCAACTTCCAACATCTTTCTCAACTGGGTTGATGGATCAGAAGAATCCGGATCAGCATGGATTGTGCATTCAGACAGCCTGGTGTGAAGCTTAAACTGCCTGTGGAACAAGAAGTGCCAAACATATCTGCAAACTTGCATTTTGCAAAATCCCTACCTTTAACATGAGCCCCCAAAAAACAACACGCATGTGCCCATGAAAGCGAGCGGAAAGCGGCGCACGGAACAGTTCCGTGCGCCTTGTGCCGTGCGGACCGTCCCCCGTCGCGCTCCCGAGCGGCTGGGCGCGGCACGGAGCGGAGAGAGGGCGCCTTGTAGCCACTGTCCAGGTGCAGCTGATTCCTGCAAAAGACAGGTGTTTTCATCGAGGCAAGGAGCTTGCGATGTTTGATGCCATTTTTCACCTGCGCCGTCATGGAGTCATGGGATGTACATTGCGGAAGACCGTAGGGGGAGGAGTTCTTTTGTTCTAGTGAAAAAAAACACCTGTTTGGGTGTTCGGAGCATGGTCATCCATTGAAGGGCATCTTTCCACTTCCATGATGATGTCAGGGATTCGATCTTATTCGGACCTGGTGTCCCGCTTTGGAGTCTATGGTCGTGGTTGAGCGCTAGATCGATTTTCCGATCGCCTCTCACGGGGGGTTCCTAATGGTTCCCAAGCCCTACATCCTGCAATGACCTGCAGATGACCTACCAGTAGCGCTTCGGAGAGCTCTTGGCCTCTTGCGGGGGGGGTCTCCGCGGGGGGGAGGTACGCTGATGTGGGATCGAGGAAGACCAGACATCTTCTGCCCAGTCCTTTTGCTCATCATCTTGGTCGGAGCATCTCCTTGAAACTTGGCGAAGAGCTCCTTGACATGCTCACTCTGAGTTCCTGGCGCGTGGCCGCGATCTTACGCGGTGGAAGGGAGTAGGGGGATGGACGCATGGCATGGAAGAGAAGGAGGTTGAAGAAGAAGGATAAAGAAGCATTACATACAATACACGCATATAATATATAGTATAATTATCCCCCTGTGAGTTTGCCAGGTGAGGTTGAGTTAAGTAGTTATAAATCGAAAAGTGGCTCCCAGAGGTCTACAGAATCACAAACTCGTAATCCAAAGTAAAAACAGAGTCTCTACAAAATGCACACGCACAAGGGCATTTTGGACAGGGACACTCTCTACAAAATGAGAAGGTTCTGGAAGGGGATAGATACGGCATAAGAGAAAAAGTGGTTACAAAAATGCAGAAACTGCGCGTGATGCATTCTGTAGAGGGTACCACTTTTGCAAGTCAGGTAGGGTGCAAATTGGCAAATAAAAACCTGACAACACATGCTGTACAAAGTGTCATTTTGTAGAGACAGCCTTTTCATCGTCTGTTTGGGTAATATAATCGTAACTTTCTCTATATACAAGGTGCCAGTTTTTCCACAAAATGCAAACCGGCGAGGTCAAAACCACATCAAATGCCAATGACCATGTTTCTCTACAGAATCACAAACCTGCAAATCAGCATCTTCCAGAAGCTCCGAAATGTCTCCTCTACAAAATGCCAAACCTGGGAATGTAAGACAAGTTTCTTTATTTACAAAATGCCTTATCAGTACCCATCCCGTGGCATTCTGTAGAGGATCCAGGCAGAAGGATGTATAATTCAAAGGAACACACATACTGTCAGATGCTATATCGCAACCTTGCTTCAGAACGTAGATTCAACAAGTAGGACCCGTGGTCCCGAGGCTCTTCTTTGCCCCTACAAACTCCAGCTCCTTTCGCCCCACGACCAGAGGCAAAACACCCGTGCCTGGCGCGAAGAGCTTCGGCTTCCGACACTCCCCAAAGAGGAGAAGCTTCTGCTCTTCTTTCCGTGCTTGCCTGGGTCGTCAAGGGGTGGTGATGGTCCGGGTTCACTCCCTCTTGCTTGATTCTGCTTCACAAATGGCAAAAGCTTGAGGTGCTGGTCTCATGTACAGTACTTCCGGAACACTCTAACATCTGTCTTCTACCCTTGAATTTGGCAGGAAAAAGCGACCGTGGTTCAGTTGTTCCTTGACCGATGTCTATGAGGTATTTCACGGTGAGCTCACCATCTTCCCAACCTCACGAAACAACAGGAACTGTATCACCCCCACAACTATACCAACCGAACCATTATGCCTCCAAATCTCCCCAAAAAAAACACCCCCCAAAACCGCCCTGCCCCGTTCTCTCTCCCCTCCCTCCCCTCCCTCCCCGCCAGCGCTGAACAGCGCGGATCGCCACCGGTCGCAGCTGCTCCTCGCTGCCCAGGTGGGGCGTCGCCTCGGCGGCGAAGGCCGCCAGGACCCAGGCCCAGTCCACCTGGTCGGAGGTGCGGATGGTGCAGGAGACGGCAGGACCGGGAGGACGGCCGGACCGCGGTGATGGGAGGGCGCCGTGCCATATACTCCAGAATCCGAAACGGAGTCCGCTGCGATTGATGTGTGGGTTTTGGGGGGTTTGGGTCGAAATTTTTGGACTCATCACAAAGTGGAAACTTATGATATCTACATGTGCCAGTTGGATTGAGGAACCAGAGTCTCAAAATCAGGCGATTGAGTAGCCATCAAGAGTGAAGGTCGAGCAAAGTTTTTAGACGTATTGCTTCCAGTCTGCCACCACAAGTCGGTTCAATGCAATTGTTAATCCTTTGTCAGAATGGCTCAACAAATGACCACCAGGAGAGGTTCCCTCCACCAACGCAGGGTGCCACGCAGGTGACAGGTGGGGAGACCAAACATCAGAACCTCTTCACGACGCCTAAAGCAGCCAATAGTGTAGACTCTTGATTAATAATGATTACATACGATTACTAAACCCGCAGACATGGATTCTAGAACCTCCTCTTTACGTTTTTGTTCGCTTTGATCAAGAGGTCTACACGATGTCTCTCCATCCAATACACATTTGACTGGCAGCTAACTGGTACTTCGTACTTCAGGATCTTGGGTAGGAAGATCGTCCCATTCCAAGCTGTGAGGCGCTCGGGGGAGGGAGAGTTTCTCCAAGCATAGCAGCTACACTACAGGGAGGAGACTGAGACAACGAGGGAAGAAACGTGTGTGCGTGTGTCTCAAAAGAGGGAGACCGGAGACCGACCCCTGGAAGACCCCTGGAAGAAGGAACTGGTCGACCAAGAATGCATTGGTTGGGGGTTCCCTTATTTAAACACCATTAAATACCCCATATGCACAACATCTCAAACACTGAAGAACCTCTTTCCGGCACCTGATCGAACCAATCATGGACCGCCAAGCGTTGCAAGGCTTCACCCGCAAGGCTTTGCATGACCTGCGGCGCGGCGCGGGGGGCTTCGAACAGGTGGGTGATGTGCTTCCCTGGACGGATCCTTGCCCACACATGCACTCACAAAGCCTGTTGTATTGCTTTTACTACAGCTAAACTCAAGTCGATGATGTTGCACATCATCCGTACATATCCGGAAGCGCAAGCCGAGCTTTGTCCGGAAAGCGCCTGCTCGGCTGACCACTGAATGAGGTTGGAGCTTGCTTCCAAGCAGTGAGCGGCCTGCCGGAACCTCAGATGATCACAACCCATGGAGTCTGCAGATCATCAGGTCAGGCTGTTCCAGATTTAGATGGATTCAGTGGCCATGCTCTTTAGATTGCAAATTTGATAGCTGCAGTATTGGCCCTGTGTCCGTTTTAGTGTTGGGGAGACGGCCACAAAAGTTCTACACACCAAGCATCCCTGTCAGTGGACCCCAGTAATTATTTCCACTAGGCTAAGCCAACAAGAGGTTCGGAGAACTCCCTAGTTCCTTGGCTTCCCTTTCTGCGAGACATGAATGTACCTCGCAGCTGAGCACTTTCATCAGCAGTTAGATGAGTCCTAGAAGCCAAATCGGAACTTCTTTCCTGCAGCCGATCCGCGCTTTGCTTAAGCATGGAGAAAGCCGAGGGGCTGTTCCCGGATCCGCTTCTTGGCTTGCTTCGCATCCTCTTTGCCTAAAAAGACTGTGTCAAACCCTCACGTGTCAGAGTCATCTTGACCAAGCGCGCAAACACGCCACCGAGCAGAAACAAAAATGTGTCTGTCTGGCTTCCAAAACGGGTTTCACGAGCATACCTACATTGACCCCATTAGCCACTGCAGTGAGTCTAGGATGGAAGATTCCTGAGCTGCCGACTTCCGTATTGACGTTCGACTTCAGCAAATGCCTCGGGCCGACTCTCCCGCCGTTGCTTCTCTTGCAACTCGGGCTCGAGCATGGGCGGGAGGGGAGAGCTCTTTGCTCAGCGAGAGAGTTCCAGCAGCCTCTAGGCGAGGGGGTGGCATTCATTTGAGCAACCAGGACATATTGCACGTCTTTCCATTGATCGGCCGTCCCTTGTTGGCCCCAGAAATTGAGGCTCACTGATCATTCTCCCTCGCTCCCGCCTTGTCCACCACAGCCGGAAAACGCATGAGGCGCAGAGCTACGCTCCGCGGCGAAACAGGTGCAGTGAAACACAAAAGGCTGCGAAGAAAGCGTTGGAGACGGTGAGGTGGAGCAAGCTATAGGAAATCGAAGCGTCCACCCACGCCGAGGGGGTTGCATTCCGAAGGGGTGTGTGCTTGAGGTGCATCCGATGGTTGTCAAAATCACCAAACTTCTGACGCCACTCGATGCTCTTCATACCATGGCCCTCATGTCTTTGAAGCTCTTGTGCAATCCTGCCCTCTACGACCACCCAACCATAGAAGCTCAAATTCTGCACAAGTGGTACAGTAGGAATAAAAGCAACCTAAATCCCGAAGATATTGTTTAACTTAATTAATGGTTCTTGGCTGCGGTAGATACTGTGCCTACCAACGAACTCAGTCAAGCCACCGGACAAGTCTACCTCGCCAACCACCCGAGCGCCAAGCTCCGGCACCCTCTGCGACACCGTCTTCCGCGCGCAGCTCGAGCTGCGTCCGTTGTGAGACCCGGTCCGCCACACGAGCGGCTTGAGCAATGAGTCACTCGCAGCTCAAACGACAAGCGGGGCGTATGTATCCAATGGGGCTTCATCTGGCCATGAGTATACAAATCAGGCGGAGATTTGTTCCTCCACCACATCAAAACCCAACAGAAACATACAGAAACCAACATTTGCAAAGCTACAGGTCTTTGATCCATACAGAACATGTGCTCTGTGAGTCTTTGACCGAACACATTTGCCAGCACCAGCACCACCTGCAGTCGATGTCTCCTATGGTGTTGCAAGCAGCATCGAAAGCGCATAGAAAACGCACATCACTCAGTTTGATACAAGGACTATCCAGATCTACCCAGTACTCATGCTCAAGCCGTGTTCTGGGCGCGGCTTCTCACTTCTTGCGTTTGTGGATAAGCTCAAAAAACCTCATGGCAGGACTCCACCAGAAGATGAAAAACAAATAACTACAAAGCTAAAATTCAAAGCAAGCTCTAAACATCTTGACCAGCTCTAAACATCCAGCCAAAACATGAAACTCCGACCAGACCAAGAGAGTTAAGGTTTCAACCATAACTATGAAGATGAAAGATGCTGCCGGATGTGTTTAGAGCAGGGTTCTTGTATGACTCCACAGATGACAACCAGGCACCAGTCATTTGACGAAAAGCTGCCACCGGTGTCCAGACGTGTCCTATTTCTCTACTACATGGACCAGGAATTTCAGTACACGACGAACACATCACATGGAAGTGGACTTCACCTCCTGTTTGTCAAGGAAAGTCGTCTTCCAAGCGACCATGCCATCCACTTTGATGTGTTCAGAGTCTACAAACCACCATCTTCCCCTTCCCGAAAACCACGACCGACCAATCACGGCGCGCTTCGCAGCTTCCCACCACATCTTCCCGCGATGCTACGGACTCCTGCCGAACATTCAGCCAGGACTCCTCTCGAAAATTGACCAGGGGAGATCCGCGTCTCGGACCTTGCAGGTTTGCCCGAGAAATTACAGTTCATCATCATTTCATCTTTAGTTATGCAGCATCTTTTAGCATGGTGCAGGTGAGTGTTTTCGTGTCTGGTCTGTCTTGGTTGTAGGTGAGTGGGCCCCTGAGGCCGTCAACTCAACTCGACACGACCGGGCCTGTCGTTCATCCCCAGCGACGACGGCCGAACAGACCGGCACCTTTGCTTTGTACTCCTCAAGCTGATCTTCGACGTCGGCCTCGTATTTGGCGAAGAGCTCCTGGCCACGGAAAAAACCGCAACCTGTCCTCCATACGCTGGACAGCGCGTGAACCATTTAGGATCATTTTGGGACATGTAGATTCTTGATGAATAACCTCCTCCATGTGAAGAGATTTGTTCAATCCAAATGGGGTATTTGCTCATCTTGTCTCTTTGACTCTGCAGCTTTTCTTCTCCAGAAGACTCGCTGGGGCATGGACGTACATGGACGTGTGAAAGGTCATCTTCAGACCATTAGAAATCGACATGGCGATTTTAAAAGGGAATGTCTAAAAGTTTAAAGTAGATCCTCGAGCATGGACGGGCTACCGGGCTATCAACAAAAATGCCCGCAATACGAACTGCGAACATCTCGAAGAAACTCAATCACATCGACCCAAGATACAATCACATAAAGTGATTTACGCATATTATTTTGTTACAAGCGCTTGTCAAACTGTGTGACTATATCAGAAGATATCAGAACCAAAAAACCCTCTGTATATTCACACCCACAGACCTCAAATCCACCCAAATCCATCCCAAACTCCAATTTCAGGGTCCCCCAAGGTCCCAGAAGTCGTCGCCGAGCCCCCCCCCCCAAGACCGAACCATGCATCCACTCCCGTCGACCGGGCGTGCGGATCCACGGCCGGGGACGGACACGGATCCATCCGTGGGCGCCGTTCGATTCACTCCTGGAGGCCCAGCTCTTTGTAAACGTCCTTGATCTTTTCCTCCTCTTCACTGCCGACCTCGAACACTCCCTGCTTGACCCACGCTCGGAGTCGATGGAGCCAGTTTAACGGGCCGGGCCGGCAGGCTCCGGGCTGTACCTCAAAGCGAGTTGGTTTTGGTACCTGAAGGAGGCATTCTAGGAATTCTAGACTGGTACTCGCACTTCTTATAATTTGCCTATGAGTCCACATACCTTTTGAGAAGGTGATTGGAGACACTTTGGTGTTGGGGGTCCAAATGCCTTCTGAGAAGGAATGTTGATCATTTTGGATGCTTAGGGATCATCATGGATCATGTATATATCTTCAAGTTCCAGCTTTCAACCAAACAATTAAACAAATGGTGCCCAGCCACCTGGAGGACTGTCAGTTCGCTCGTTGTCGTGCATGGACCGGCCTCGCAGTTCCCGTAATGCTTGTCCAAGTACGCCTTTGCCTGTCCAGACTTGAACGGCGATGTATTCCCAAATGGTGGTGCACATAGAACTTTGATGAAACAAATCCAAAAAGAAAGTCTTTGAGATTTGAACAAGGAGTTAGGCGGCTGTATACCTCTGACAACAAATCTGATGCCGCCTCCGGAGTGCTTTGCTCGTGGTAGGCATGTGCAAAAAGCCAACTGCACTTCTTGTCCTGCACAGACAGACCCACCAGCTCACGTCATGCTTTTTTCTGCGATGTGAGTAGCATCTGTCAGTCCTGGATGTCAGTTCCGACCTGAGCTGCTTCGACATGTTCGACCGACTTCTCACATCGATCCAACTCCAAGAGGATCTTCTCACACCCATGAAATTCCGGAGACAACTTCGAAGTGACCTTGGCCCCAAAAAGGATCTGGCACTTGGAAGAGTTGTGTTCTTCAAAACTAGGAACAAGAAGCTACGTTCGGGGCTCCTGGCCGTACTACTAGGAGCAAGGACGCTACTAAGAATGCTACTAGTTTCTTTATGTGTCTTTTGACGCCTGGCATCAATCCTTCCGTCGGCCTTGGAGGGTCTAAACTCGGCTCCGGGCCGGAGGCCGGCGGGCCGTCACGGTGGAGCGTCCAATAGACGGTCAGAGGGTATAAATCAGCATGCGGGCGGGGCTTCAAACAAGTCTAGCAGGATCTAGCAGGTGTTAGTTGATGTTCAATCTTAGGGTGCCCCTTATGTTCAACCATGGCCCAAATATTGTTGGAATGCGGGTATGGGTCGGGGCGGCTGGAGGATGAAGCAAACACCAGCTCTTGCTGACTCTTGCTCCGTTTCACAGGGTTCATCTTCTTCATCCATCTTCACCAGGAGCCTCACTGCACCAATTGAGACCTCTTAAAGGTCCGACCACTGGAGCAAGTGCCGCAGGGTCCTGTCGGGTGCTTGGTAGTGCCGCTCCATCGCTACGTCCCTCCTTCCCCTCCACGTCAGGACGGACGGGAGACGGACGGACTGCTCCCGTCCATAGCGGCCGAGCGGCCTTGCCCAGCACCTCCGGACTGGCGAAGGCATCCAAGTAGTCATCCTGGGCCTGCATCACAGATCTGCACATCATCACATCCTCTCTTGGATGGGTATACGGTATAGAACCACATGCACACACTGACTGTCATTCCATGGAAGTGGATGGCATGGTCACTTTTCCTTTACAAAAGGGGATTTGCCACTTCCATGTTGGTGACTGTCAGGGAGTCGGAGTGTAATACAACAAAAAGACTTGGAAACAGATTTCACCAATTCACAAGAATGCTCCACCGTTGCCGGATTGTCCCGTGATGAAAAACACTACACACCACTAAGACACTCATGTGTTACAACTCACCAGAACTCCAAGGAAACCTGCAAACCTTCTCAATTGAGCCCTTATAATCCTCGAGCTCGTCCCAACGGTGACCCAACGCGGTGGCCGCTGCGCCGGGTGAAGCGGAATGCGCCTGGAAGTAGATTCCCATCAGCCTCAGCATGCTGACAAGGGCATCGGCGAAGCTCCACTCCAGTGTTTTTATGTACTGCAAGGAGAGACCAACACAATTTGCCAGTGCTTCGTGAATATATGTTTGACATTGTTTGATCATTGTTGTCATGTTATATACAGTATTATAAAATATACAGCATATAACTGGAATGAACACGTACGTTCGAAGCCACTTATATATCTGCCAGTCATGATCAAAAAATGTGGGGATGTAAAACTGGGCATTGGATTTGTTCCATCTGACATGAGGTATAGCCTGTTGAGACATGAGCTGATTGTCTTTCACAAATTGAGAAGAATAGGAGCCACAGTGGCAGTAAGATCCTGACATTCACGATGATTCAAGTGATGTCAACCTTTTGGTGAAAGCCATGTATATACTCGAAACAAATCACAAACGTGCCACCCACCTCCGCATGCCAAGTCGTACTCCGACCAAGTCAAGCATGGTCCGAAGAGATCCAAACTTGAAGCTCCCAGTCGCTTCTTGGATCCATTCCTTCCAAGGTGCCCCTGAAAGCGATGAAATAACAACAAAACCGGGAACAACAACAACAGCAGCAGCAGCAGCAGGAGGAACAGGAACAGCAACTCCTCACTTCAAGCCACCGTCGTCCGTCCAGGCTCGCTTCCCTCAATTCCCCCATGCCGCCCGGGCACAGCAGGGCCTCTCGTGCCGTGTCGAAGGCCTTGTGGTCCCGCACGCCAGTGACCAACATGGCCAATGCCACTGGGAGGTAAAAGGAATAGAAGGCGGTCTTGTACTTCCTGAGGTTCTTGCTTTCAGGGCGGGTCGGTCATTGGGCGGTATAGAAGCTGCTCATAACATCACTATGACTCTGACTCCCTTCCTGTTGGGTCTGTCGGTTGGGATCCAATGGTCCAGTCCTGCCTCCTTAGCTGTGCATGGTCAGAGGGTTCCAGGGAAATGACCATGTCAATACGCGCACCGACTGCCACCCCCAGCCGCGACGGCCGCTTTTCGGCCACCAACACCTGGGACTTGCTTTGCACCCAGACAGACTGGCGCATGGTTTCACCCACCCAGCTTCGACCTCCGGTCCTTTCCAACGAACCACCACGTCGTCGTCTTCACGTCGGTCGACTTGGTCGACTCGGTGGACTCCAAGGGTCACAATCAAGGTCCAGCGCTCGGTCGTCAATTCCTGGCGACGACGCGACGCGTCAAGGGGGAAGAGATCCTCATAGACGCCGTACAGACGCCGTTGCGAAGTCAAATGCTGAAAAAATCCTAAAGACTTGGATTCAATCTGTATGTACACTTCCACTCAGGAAGACTGGGCCAAAAGTCTTCTGGTGCACCGTGTACCACTAAGGTTGCACTAGAACCTTGGCAGCGTGCCAAAATGCGTCAGGACTCGTGATTCGGCGAATTCGGGGAGACCATCTTTCGAGGTGATGCGTATCCCACATGACCTGGGTTGCCCCAACCCCTGATTCGATCACGTCCACCGGTCCAGTACTCTAATACCTCCACCCGGTCCAAAGCACCAAGGCTGCACCAGCGGACCTCCAAGTCACAGTTGGCACAGATGGAGTCCAGGAGCTGTCCACACTCCGTCTGGAAGGTGGTCTCCTTGGTACGAATCATCTCGAATGAATTTCAATGATATGTCTTCTCACCGGATGCGATTCATGTTCGTACCACTGTTCGTGTCTGGGAGCAAAAGAAGCGTGTGGTGTTGTCGACGTCTGGTACCTGTACCTGATGACAGAGATGTGTTTTGCCCCAAGGCCCAAGCCTCCCTCTTTCTTGGGCTACATGCAGCAGAGGCAGAAACCCGAGGTCATTGTGGAGTGTTGTTCAAGTTGCTATATAGGTGGCTGATCGCCCTAAGACACTTGCCCGATGCCATCTGTTGGGCTATTTCGGTTGGGCCACTTCTGCCGTCGGACGGCGGTCGGACTGCTAGGGCCCCAAGCTAGGAGGAGATCAATGAGCCAAGGAAAGATCTGCTCCTGTCGAGTTCGATGGAAGATCGTCGGCACGGACACCGGGCCATATGGCTGGTAGGTGAACCTGGACCTTCAAACACTGGTGGGTTAAGCTGGCCGGCAAGCTAGTCTGTTCATTTGGGATCCATTTTTGGACATCGCGTCGCAAAGATGGTTCGACGAATGGTTCGATGCATCTTTTTGGAACCACTGGGTGATCCCTACAAACTGGTGATCGGATGCAGGACCCAAGAAAAAGAGGATTTGGACAGCAAATGCAAGGCACATCTGCCGGGGGGGTCATCCTGATTTTGGAAGAGAATGGCATCACAACTTCAAATTCTAGGGGGCTGATGGCTGTATCTGAACCCTGCCACGGCCTTCTCAATCTTTCCCTGTGGTGTTCCACCTACCAGTATGAACCTGCTGTAGGCTGTAAACGGGGTTGAAGTTGTTTCGGCTTCTGCTGACATGAGACATGAGACACCAATCTGTTTCTGCGACCACTTCGGATCCCTTGACAACGATGGTTTCATCACATCTCTCGATCCAGTCGAACGTTTCAAGAACGACTCACCTTTCCAAAGTGCCGCTTGACGATCTTGTAGACCTCAGTAGCCAACAAACTGACAAACTGATGGTGGACAAACTAGATGACTTGGACCGAACCAATTCAAGGTACGTAGAAGTCAGGTCCCTACCGAAACAGTGGATGTTTGGCAATGTGTCAGTTTCAGAGTGTCCTTTACTCAGGTCTTTCATTCTCTGTTCTCTGGGTATAGCTGCAGCACCCTCCCAAAGAGAAATGCAAACGTTTACAAATTACAAACAAGGCATCTGGAAAACTAGAGTATCTTGGGCGCTGGACCATCATAAAGGCTGAAGATCATATGGAGTTTGTATGAATTTTCTGATGGTTCAGAACATGAGCAAATGTATGATCTACCAAGGATTCACCAAGTGATCCGCAAACTTGAAGTAACCAAATGGAACCAACAACCCTCTGATTCTGACCCACTTCGCCTGCACAGGGTGCAAGTGCCCTCTTGAGGACATCCGCATCTCTCAACTCTCCACTGCACGGACAATTTTTGCGCTGTCTCCACTGCACCCCAATCTGAGGATCATGGCATACATCTCCACCATGAGGAAATCGTTGGTGTTCAGCAATCCCACCTCTGGCAGCCTCGCGGAGAACATCCGGTTCCGGTCGCGGTGGTCTTTTGGCGCTGGACGAAACAAAGTCGTTTGGTGAAATTCAGCGTGGACGTCAAGGTGGTTGGGGGAAGAAAATGAGTTCGGTTTGGCACTGAGCACTATACTATGTTCAGTTCATTCCCCAGTATTCAAAGTGGAAGAACCAACCCCAAGAAACTCTCCAAGAAGCAAGCTGTAACTCTACTTTGCAGACCGATAAGCCTACTCTTGCGATACAAGTGAACATGAAGTGAGGAGGGCTGAGTCCCAGCTTTGTTCTTTTGAACTCCTAGCATCAAGCCGTAGAACCCTCAGACCCTCATTGGTTGCAGTGAGTCTGGCGTCTGGCTACTGAGCGGTAGTAGCCTCAAGAGGAAGGTACCATCCACTTGCAGTGATTGCCCTCCAGCCAAAACATCGTGGAATCGACGGAACTTGCTTGCCCATCGGATACAATGATCCATTAAAACAGGTTCCACTTTTGAAACAAGCACAACGAGAATTCTTCATTTCACTCACACTTCAGATCTTCATCACCACATAGTATATGTGAACCATAACCTTACACCTGATGCTACATCTATCCCAGTAAACACAATGGCCACCGTGCCCACCGTGCCCACCGAACCAGCAGGGGATATCGCGCCTGTACCAGCACGGGTTTCCTCGTCGCGTGACGGAACCATCCATCATGTCGTCGGCCATCAGCATGCAGGCCTTGTTTCGTTTCGTCCCATCGGCGCATCGGCATCTCGCGGCGAGACATGTGGGCCAAAATGGGTGTGGAGTCTAACATACAGTAGCTTATATATGTTTATATAATGGGGAGAACAAACGCTTGCTCCCTCGTAGACTGGTCTATGTTCCTTCTTCCAAGGGGTGGAACTGGGAGGTCTCCCTGTTTGAGCTACACACCTGCATGGTGCCCAGCTCAGTGTTCCAAACAGCCAAAAACCCGCCACCTCGTCTCACAGCCTGGCTCAGGGCCAGCAAAGTGGCTCATCCGTCAGAGTCATAAATCCCAAAAAAAATCCCAGGAAAATCCAGGACCATGTTGAAAGGTTTAATGGTTTTCCACCACACTCCTCCTTCCCATCGATCCCCCCGTCTTCTCTTCGCACCGAACGCACCGCACCTGGAGATACTCCACAGCCCAGCCCAGCACCGCGAAGCGGTGCAGGTCGGCGTTGGTCACCTCGCGGCCCTGGTGCTTCAGCAGCATCACGCCAGTCTCCACCACGATCAAACCGCGGTTCATCTTTCCACCCTGCCTCAGAGGGGGTTCCAGATAGGTTTTTGAATGGTTTTGGTTTAGGGTTTAGGTGTTTTTGTGTGTGTTTTTTTTACTTTAATGGTTTAGGGGTGTTGAACACCCACACTGCCAGATGGGATTTTGAGCTTTTTACGACGGTGTTTGGTTGGGGGGGTGGTTTCATCGGACGCTGTTATGATAAGAATAAAAAAAGAGAGGAGGGGAACATGGAGGAACTCTGAAAACACATGGGGCGGAGATTGAAGAACGGCAACATTGGGGGTTCAGCCTTTTGGTGCATGCTCTTTGGTTCTGTCTCCAATCGCCCAACGGCCTCCTTAAAGCCAGGTGCAACACCTTGCAATTCTTGTGTGCTCTTCGCATCTTTCGACATTCTTGCTTTATTCTTGCTTTATTACGTGGAACACCAAAACATCCAAAACAAGAGGGGAGAGAGCACAAGCGAGAGAGGGAGAGAGAAAGAGAGAGAGAGAGAGAGACAAAGAACAAAAAAAGAGAACACGAAAAAGCGGAAACCTCATCTTCAATGTATGTCACGTCGCCTCACATCGTACCAGGCTCCAGGGATCCTTTTCCTTCGGCATCAAGCTACCCAACCAGCTACCCCAAGTGGCACCGCACCGGCACGTCCTCCGCAACCAACGAACCCACGCGGTCCGTGCGCAAGCAAGTGACGTATTGTACTCCAAGGACCTTTCGACCCAGGAAGCCTCAGGTCAGCGGTGGCCATGCGGTCAATCAGCCGCCTTTGCCCCTCATGTCCATCAGCCGCAAGTGGTGGAAAGACAACGACCTGGACCTTCCAACCGGGTGTCCTGTCTGGAGGTCCCTTTAGTGGTGGGCTGGGGCTTCCATTGGGCACCCCTTTGGAAGGTCCTGGTAGTCAACTCGAAGCAGGACCTTCATCCATCAATCGCCTCCCAAACCTCGCTGAGCCTTGGCAGCTGCCGAGAGTTCTCGGTTTGCCCCGCGCATCGAGAGCTCTCTGTTTCGGCCCGAGTTCTCCGTGCCCGGCGCGGCCTCCTTGGGCGGCAGCTCGTAGAGACCCGGCAGCTCGCCGACCATCTCCTCACAATGTCTCGGGGAGACGGAGACGGAGACCCTGCGACCCGGCAGCGACGCACGAGTGCAAAAGGAAAAAAACAACTGATAACCCCCCCACATGTTAACAACTTCACCAAATACAGGAGCGGACAATTGGTGGTTGGCAATTGGTTGGTGACAAAAGTGAACTCTGAACTCTGACTTAAGTTTAGGCATGCGAAAGACCTGCTTTCAATAAAACCACGGGTGTCTCGTGAAGTGGGTGAACTTGGTGCTGGATATCTTCCAAGAACACTTTGGTGTTGCAAACACCGAAAGAATACACCTGGCAAGAAATAGACTCAACACCGCTGGAGAAAACCGTCTAAAGAAACGTGGCTTGGAGGTTTAGGCAAACGCTGAATGATGATGGATTGTCCACAAGAATGGTCCCAGTAATTAAAGCTGAAAGTAAAACTGATACTTTCAATTGGCTCACAGTGTCCACATGTTTCCAGTGATTCTGTTCAGCGGAGATATGCAATCTATCTTGGGGAGATTGGAGTGTCAACAAACGTGTACGGTTGTGGGGTTAAGGAGATACTGTGGAACCGAAATCGGGCTGCCTCCATCCCTAACATCGTGGAGGGATTGCTATGACACTAGGCCAAGATGAAACCACCACCACCGTTTCTTGCATCCCTCCACCACCCTCCGGACCCCACACTCACTCTGCGCGAAAAAAGCAACAAACACGCACCGCACCGCCCAACGCCACCACCACCCAGCCCGACGCGACACCCCAAACGGCGAGACAAATAAAAGAGATCCAAACAAACGCGACGGGATGGATCGACGGGATCGACGGAGGACGCTCCTGGAGGATCATGCGGCCCACCTTCTCAAAGGAACCCTTGGGATCGGACAAGTCATACTCCTTGGGCAGTGCCCGACTGCTCGCTCGGCCGCGGCGCGGTCTTGCGTGTGCGCGGCCAAAAGGACTGCTGGGAGCGATTCGACCCGAATTCGTAAGTCTTCGTCTCGTGTCCGAAGATCTGTGGAGTCCGACATCTTCTCTGTCGAGTCTTCGCCACTCAGGTGAAATGAAAAGCGAACTTCACCAGGTACAAGGTGGGGGTTCCCCCCGGACATCATAGTTGAGGTGTCGAAATGCGGGAAAATGGCATGATCCACTAAAAAACACAAAGACCGTCATGTCATGTGTCACTTAATGTTGATTTCTAGACGAACCAAGGTACCTACTCTTCCCATGCCTTCCCGAACTCGATCGACCGGAAACCCTGAATGCTCATCCTCGGTGTATTCGGTGGTGTACGCCGGCTTTCCAGCAGGCCAGGAGGTGGCGGGGTTGGCCTCAAGAGTTCTGAAGAAGTGCCAAAAGAGAGGTCAAGGCCTCAAGAAGCAGTGCCTGAGAGTTGCCAGCAGTACGGCGGGAGTTGGAAGGTCAATGTGTAACTCCTGCTGGTTCCACGTCCCATCGTGCTCAACAAAGGGCAAAGAGATGCCCGACTGGTTCCCCCAATGTTCAACACGCATCTTCAACTCATCTCGTTTACACTCCCTGGAACAAACATTCAAAGTGGAAAACCTCCTGTTTGTAGAGGAAAACGGTCTTCCAATGTCTTCCAAAGGGCCATGCTATCCACTTCCATGTTAGTTAGTTAGTTCCAGGGAGTGTACTGTTTACTGGTATGTTTACTGGTCCATGGTCCATGTGTTGATTCTGGCCTTTGATACACAATCCACTCTAAACGGCGATGTGATGGGCACTAGTAGTCACTAGAACCGACATACCTTGGATCACTCTAGGCCCCAAGCGCCAATGCCATCGACAATGCCTCGGACTGCACACAGCTGGGTGGCTCACGGCATGTCCGGGAGACTTGTAGCCAATGGCGTTGGATGTCGTTGGTACCTCTTTTATGGCTTCAATCTCAACTTAGTGTTCATATGGCTGGTTCCACACGGTTCCAAACAAAAGCACGGTGGGATTCTTGGGGCAACCCGACTCTCAAAATTAAACACTGAAGCGTTGGAGAGATTCAGTTCTCAGCCCAATGAAGCTGGGTTGGAAAAACCCTATTTAGGAGATCTGAACAGCTGGTTGGAAAGGTTCCACAGCCCCAAAGACAGACATGCCAACAATCCCTTCCAGGAAGTTTTCCCAGGTCTGCTTCCTTCTCACCTTGGCCAATAAGGTCTATTTCCCTTCTTCTCAGGGGATTTCAATACACACCCATCTGTTGACCTCCCTGTCTATTCTGTTCATTTTCGCTGCTACACCAGCACCCGCCCTCCGCCGAGCCCTCGGGCCCTCGGTCTTCGTCTCCAAGACGGAGGTCTTCGTCGACTGAAGCCTGTCGATGTTCGGGCAGGTGTTCACCCTGAAGACATCGGTGAAGAAATGGATCCCAGCAACATCCAGTGATGATCCAGGATCCAAGATCCAACATGATCCAACATCATCCATGAGGATGTGTTGTGTTCAAGCCACATGGTGGTTCCATCATCCAACGGAAAGGCCCCCAAAGACCCCCCAAGCATCTCCGAGTGTCTGGCGAGATGAATCCTTTGTAATACAGTACCTCTTGTTCAAAGACTCTTGATGCCCATCGCCGTGACAGTCACGCCAATCTGACCGGGGGATCATGCCAAATGGAGGAACAAGGCGGGTCATGCCGGTCATCGCGAATGGACGTTCGATGTTCCAAACAGAGGCGAACAAGAGAAAGAAAAAAACACCGATGTCCAGTGCCCTTCTGCATTCTCGAAAATGAATGTCAGGTTCTCCCGACCGACGTGTTTTTTTTGGGCAGCCATGCTCCGCCAAAAGAATACGATTATATTTTTATTGTATAAAGCTCATGAAAGTACCAAATCCCCTCATAGCAGCGTCTATGGGTGGCGCCCCTGTGGCGCACCATTTAGAAATATCTGGAACCAGGCTTTCCACAAGTGAAATTTGTTCAATCAACTGTTCAGAATAAGCAGGCACGCCACTCCAGGCTTTTTTCATTCAGCGAAGCAATTCCACCCCTTGCATGTGACCATGCTGCACAGCAGCCGCCAAAGCGGTTGAGCAGGCAGAGCGCTCTGCCGCATTCTGGTCAGCTCCAGCCTCGAGCAACAATCGCACCACTTCTAGGTGGCTAAAGCAAGCTGCAAGAAACAAGGATGTTGCCCCATCTGACATTGCTGCATTCTTGTCAGCTCCAGCCTCAAGCAATAACCGCACCACTTCCAAGTGGCCATTCGCAGCTGCAGCCATCAAGGCGGTTCCTCCGCATTCGTTTGCCGCATTCTGGTCAGCTCCAGCCTCGAGCAATAACCGCACCACTTCCAAGGAGCCATTAGCAGCTGCAAACATCAAGGCGGTTAGCTCAGTTGTTTCTGCTGCATTCTGGTCAGCTCCAGCCTCGAGCAACAGCCGCACCACTTCGAAGTGGCCATGTTGAGCTGCAGCCATCACAGCGGTTTTCCCATCTTGCCTTGCCGCATTCTGGTCAGCTCCAGCCTCGAGCAACAACCCTACCACTTCCAAATTGCCCCGTTCTGCTGCAACATACATAGGTGGAGGGCGAGGGTCTGCACCTTTCCCATTGGGATTCAGCGCTTTCTGAAGCAAACTTGTAACTTCTACGACTCGATTGTTCTCACAAGCAAGGTGTAGTGCCTGCCAATTGGCCTCCTCAGGCGCACAAAGGTCCAAGATTACCAATTGCAAACTTGGTAGTTGTCTGACAGGCATATCATCCTCTAGTTCGCCCATCTCTTCACTCAAGAGTCTTAATCTAAATCTTGAGCATCTAATCTCTCTGGCAAGAAGCGTCTTCAAATCTCTAATGGATTTTCCGCTCTCCACCATGCAACCCAGTTCCTCCTCATGAAACTGGGTGAGAACGGTGCCTGCAACCGATACAATCTCCATTGCTCTAGCCCTAGAGGATTCGCTGACGCTTGAGCAACCAGTTAAGAACACACCGGGGACGACCTCTACCAATGTCCCTTCAAACACTGCAAGACTCACTAGTGACCACCCGCATGTTGAAGTAGAGGAACCCAAGCTTAAGAAGGTCCAATGTTCCCTGTTGACCAGGAGTGCAAACTTTGTCCGCTACTTGGTGGATCCATGACAGGTCATATGAGTCATATAGTCACTCATCCAAAGAATCTTATATGAGTCATATGACCATATAGTGAATACCATAATATATATATATATATAAAGACTCACACCCTTTGTTTTTCACCCGCGCATGCAGTTGTGTGTCAATAAAATGGTTAAAAGGTCAACAACTAAGGTGAGAAAGACCTTCTTTCACTCC